TATCTATATATATATATATATATATATATATATATATATATATAAGTGCTGGGCAAAGATAAATCACAATAAATCTTAAATATTTTGTGATTAATCGCAATTAATCTCATTAGTATGCACAAAACTAAACTATGATTTAAAGATGTTTAGAACATTTTTAAGGTACTGTTTTATATGAAAAATATTCAATACATTAAAAAAGGCACATTTTAACAGCAGTGTTCTCCTAACAATTAAAGTTTTTCCAGTAACATAAGCATGAACGTATCAAATATGAAACCAAAGCCATTCACCAGGGCAAAATGTTTTAACTTTATTATTGAGAGAAAATAAAAAGATTCCTTCAACCACAAAACCACAGTCATCTAAGATTATTATTAGATTATACAATAATCTACTTATCATTTCACAATGAATGGATCTTTATTTTTTTATTTTGCAGCAGTCCCAGATGAATGCATGCATATCAAAAACGTCACTTTGTTTCCTGTAACTACAGACATTATGATCTCATTTCAATAGGATGTTTTTAAACTGAAGCAGCTCTCTCTTGTAAATGAGTCCTCGAGACTCAATGTGAACTAACCTGTATAAAAGTTGAATGAATAAACCTTTAACTTCATTTATTTATCCATGTCCCTCATGGGGAAAATCAACCTTATTTAACTGATTAAAAATACTAGTGTTAAATAGTTCCTCCACTAAACACTAGCCAATCTATTACACATGCCAGTCCCAAATAAATATATCTAATTTAAATTATTTTAATATCTAATTTAAATTATTTGATTAAATTATTTGAAGCATCAGAGATCTGATGCTTGGTTCTGGTGACCCAGTCAGAGGGGTTCTAGACACCCACTTCGGATGTTATCAGCCATTAAATGGCCGTTATTAGTTGTTATCATCCCCATATGTAGCGGTCAGACTGCCCCTCCTGTACCTCCCAGTGGGTTTAAAGGTATGTTGTTAGTGATGATAATAGGCTCCGTTTTTACCTTTGTTAGCGCTCATAATAGCTTCACGTGGTTAGGTTTAGAGTAAAGGGTCTGGCGGTTAGGTTTACGGTCTTGGTTAGGTTTAGGAACAAGGGTAAGGGGGTTAAGTTTAGGGTTGGTCCTCAGGGTCAGGTGTAAGCTTATGTTTAGGAAAAGGTTACATAAGCTGAAAACAACTAAAAAGACACTTCCTGGTTTACCCCCGGTGTGATGCTGCCTATTGTCAGCAATAATAACGATAATAACGTACCTTTAAACCTACTAGGAGGTAGGTGGGACAGTCTGACCGCTACATATGGGGATGATAACAACTAATAACGGCCATTTAATGGACTGATAACATCTGAGGCTGCTCTTCTGGACCACCTCCTCTGCACAGAGTCAGACCTGGGGCTTGGTCAACTTCAGAGTTTTTTCTTATTCTTCGTGCAAATTTTGTGGCACTGGATAAATACTTCAACCCTCTGTGAGAAAGGAGAGGGGATTATTTACCTGTTTGGGGTGTGGGGGGTTAATGCAAAGGGTAATGGGCGTGTTTTGTCCCTCATCGCTGCAGCCTGCAGGGGCTCTGATCTAACGCGATTCAGATCTGATTTTCAGGAAATAAAATGTGGCGGTTTATTTATCATAACTGGTTTGACTTGGCCAATCAACACGAATTAAAAACTAGTGTGTAACTTAAAGTTTGTACTTTTGTTGAGTTGCTGTGTCATTCCTGATAGAACGACTGAAATTGGTCATGTGTGCATCACGCACACGGGGGCAGGGGTGGGGTGTCGATTCACTCCCAAAAGGGAATAAAGTCAGAGATGGGGAAGAAATGTCCACCAGTTATGGAGAAGGCAGAGAGCCACGTTTTTCAACTTGCGCTCTCCAGTAAAACAATATTTTGTCCCGATGTGAGGAACAAACTCCAAGCTGCATTTGTGAACCGAACTCTGCCGCTCCAACAGAACCGGTCTTCAGCTCTCCACTCGCCTTTCTGTCAGTAAGTGGTCAGGACAACGCAAGCTTCAACGTGAGTGGATGTAATCCTTGTTGAGGAGGACCCTGTCTCACTCTCAAGCTGGAAAGCCAGCCGTCAGCAGGAGTGCTGTGTGTGTGTTCATAGACGTCTGCGTTATTCATTTGCTGTGTTAACGCGATAATAACGAATTAACGTGAACAGCATGCGTATATATATTGTACAACTCATTAAATTTTGGAGTCATTTGAGTTCAATGGAGTCTTAGCTAACAAAAATCAGCTAAAAGGCTTGACAGATATTGAGCTAAATCTTGCTGTGGTAGTAACTACTGAGTAATCCACAACTTCTACTTTTAGTGATTAAAAACATCTTTATCATTAATTATTGGGAGCAACACTGTCTCAGCAACACATCTCATGAACCACTGGATGATAGACATCTACCATGGATTAACTTTAATGTCAGGTTAATTCAAGATGGCTGCAACAGTGAATCCTATTTAGTTAAAAAACATTGATGTACCTCACTCAAACTGTTTTTTTATTTTTTACTTATTTTTTTATTTTTTCAGAAATTGTGAAAAAAGTGACAGTAGCTGACATCACATATTCTCAGTTCTACACACTGTGCAACATTTTGTCTTAAAGCTGTCTATAACTATTGGAGTCACCGCTGTTTGCAAAATATCTTATAAATGAAATGACTGACTTTTAATAAATCTCTCAGGAATCTGATGTACATCTCCATTGCATTACCTTTAGGAGTCACTCCATTTCCAGAGCACCACTACAGTTAATAGTGACTGAACAGCACAATAATAGTAATAACTTTGTAAAAATAAGACAGAGCTACAGATTAATGAAGTAGTAGCTGAGAGTCACCCGGAGCACACACTTTAAACATGAACAAATCTTGTATCTTGAATATTGCATGAGTTTCCTCATGGTATCTTAAAGTTTGACCAAAACTCGCATTTTCTGCCGTATCCGTCGCACCGACCTATAAGTCGCACCAGTCCAAATATGTCTAAAAAAGTGGAAAAATCCATACCTACTGTATACCGCTTCACCGTATACATTGCATCTATTATGCGTCACCGCTGATGCGTCGCGTTTGTTATGCGTCACCGTTGACAACCCAGAAATGTGGACTGAACCCAGAAATGTGGGCTGAACCCAGAAATGTGGGCTGAACCCA